CTCAGATCAGATCATCCCAGCATCTAACGAACAGAGAGAGAGCTAACAGACATTCTGGCTCCCTCTTATGGCCAATTGAGGAAATAGCACCCAATCACATTTTACAGTATGATTTAAAGAAACAGTTACAACATTGTTACATGATTTATATATTGCCAACTCAACCGTTAGAATTATATTCCTAACAAGATATATTCTCATTGTGCCTAGAGAGAGAAATATTTGCCTCTACCTAGCATCGAACTCACAACCTCCTGACTGTGAGGCAAGAGCTCCACCTCTAGGCCACCACACCACTCAAGAGAAGAGTGGTATGGTGAGAACCAGAAAACAAACAATGGACTCCAAAGGTGTAGTGGATCTATTGAAGTTTATTCTTCCCAGTCCCTTAAGCATTCAGGAACTGAGTTTGGAAATCAGAACAGACTGTTAAGAGTTTTTCAGCAATCCAAACTAAGAACTCAACATTCAAAATAATGTACTTAACCAAAGAGGTAAACTCTTCAGAAGTAGCAGTTTCAAGCTTTCTCTTCTGCTTTCTCAACAATAGTCACATATAGTCATAATGACTGTTTTAATGCCTCTGAGGAATATTTTGCAGTTTAAGGAGCCAGGGTCTCAATAGCGTGTTGAATCAAAGTCAGGCAGTGTAAAAGGGTGATGGGATTTGTTTGTACAGACCTGATAAGGTTAATTCAGCAGGTATTTCTATCTGTTAACCTCTGGTATCCACCATCTTCCTCAACCTTCTTCTCTCACACCTACTCCCTTGTCAGAGCAGTTTTAATGCTCCATAGCATGAGTTTACAGATAGTCATATGCTGCTGCTGTGGTTTACTTCCCCAAAAATCTGGTGTTTTTCCTTCACTATTCTCATTAGAAAGTCCAACTATGTTGTGAATTTGGAGTATTCTGAATTTTATCAGTTTTGTTAGAAATACTATGTGTATATATATATATCAGGGGAAAAAACTATGTGAAAATTCTAAGAGCTATTGTAAGTGGGCACTGGCCAAGATTAGCAGGCTGAAGTTCTCCAGATGTTTAGACAACTCACTCATCATGCTGGCATTGACCATGCTAGCTAGAACTAATGGGAGTTGAAATCCTAAACTTCTGAAGAGCATTCAGGATGCCTATTTTGGTGACACAGACAATATATTACGTTTGATAAATCCATGGCCTTTATTTGTAACACACTTGTTTCCTCTAGAGGGACGCAGTGGCTCAGTGGCTAAGACACTGAACTTGACAATCAGAAAGATCTGCAGTTCAGGGGTTTGAATCCCTAGCACTGCCTAACGGAGTGAACTCCCGTTATTTGTCCCAGCTTCTGCCAAACTAGCAGTTTGAAAGTATGTAAAATGCAAGTAGAAAAATAGGGACCACTTTTGTTGGGAAGGTAACAGGGTTCCATACGCCTTTGGCATTTAGTCATGCCTGTCACATGACCATGGAGATGTCTTCAAAATGTGCTGCTCTTCGGCTTTGAAATGGAGATGAGCACCACCCCCTAGAGTCGGGAACAACTAGCACTTATGCACGAGGGAAACCTTTACCTTTACCTATGTTTCCTCTCTGCCTCTTTCTTAAATACCAGAACCTGATCAAAATTCATGACTTGCATTTCTTTTTCTTTTCAGGATCTGCCTGAAAATGAACTCCTGCATCCACCCCTCAATATTCGTGTGGTGGATTGCCGTGCCTTTGGGCGTTACACCCTTGTGGGAAGCCATGCTGTCAATTCCTTACGGAAGTTCATCTATAGACCTCCAGATAAGAAGACTCCACATTGGAGCACAGCAGGTAAGGAATGAAGAGGAATTCATGCTATGGGAATAGATGGCAGGAGAAGATCAATTGTTGGGCTGGTTGTCCTCATTGGCCAAGAGCGTGAACTATTAGCGCATTCCAAGTATCCAGATGATACCGATAGAAGCTCAGGTACCTCAGATTTCACCTGTGGAGTCCTTGGTGCTCTCCGAGCATGGTTGTTTTCATGCAGATGTTTCCTTACCAAACTAGATAACCTCACAACACACTGTACTGGTAATGATGAGGTTACCTAGTTTGGTAATGAAATGTCTGCAAGAACACATCCAAGCTCAGAGAGCACCAAGGAATCCAGATGATATTTTGCTGGCACAGAAGAAAATGGGAAATGTGGGAGTGAATGGCAAAATAAGAAGATAGCAAGATAATGAAGAGATTATGTTCAAATCTCACAACAGATAAGGTTTCTACATGAGTTCAGTCAACAGTCTAAATTTAGTTGGAATAGCAAATTCAGAGTGTTAGGAGATATTTTCTTAAGCACATTATGCGAATGGGTCTCTAACAGCAAAACATAATATAATTTATTTGTTCAGACATAGCAGATTATGGGAACATTTAATTATATTTTGTTATTTAAAGTTTTAAGTATTAATATATTAGGAAAGTCATCATTATGTTGTCTTTAAGAAATGAAGATGCTGTGTATCTGTGACTTTGCTTCCTCCATCTCATATTTGGCAATATTGATAATGACTATGCTTAATTTATTCCAATATTTGGCGAGGTGATATACTCAGCAGAATTAGAAAATCGGTTGTATAATACAAAACAATTGTGGTGATAGATGAGTCCATCATAGTGACCCCATATATTCAATATTTGTGTGTGCTTCTTACTATTATGAGGTGTGTTTTTTCTTTTACACCCCAAGTTCCTCCAAAATTTCTTCTACATTTTTTCAACCAGGTTTTCATTTTTCAATGTTATGAACTTTATCCCATCTTCAGACAACTTCCATGCTAAAATATTTCCTATATCTGTACTCTCTTTCTCTCTCTTTCCTGTATGTGCCTATTATGCACTCTCTGTTTTTTCCCTATTTATTTATTTTCTGTCCAGCTAAACTTATGAACGCCTATATGACTCTTGCAAATGGGGGGCCCTACTCTCACCCCACAGGTGAAATTGTGGTTAACATGGAGCCAGAGGTTCCCATCAAGAAGATGGAGACCATGGTGAAGTTGGAAGCGGTAAGAGGGATCAAGAATGAGCTACAGAAGTCCTAAAGGGTTTGATGCATGGCACCCAAAAGTTTGAATCTCTGATCAGTCTTTCATTCACGTAATGAATTCTGAGTTTGCTCCTTTCCATCTGTATTTTGCCTTTTTCCCTTCTGCTCATGTCCTTGTTGGAAAATTACTGTGGGTAATTTACAGCTCAGTTTACACTCAGCAAACTCCCAGAAACTATGGCTGGGTCTGTCCATGTGTTGTGAGAGTAAGGAGTTTTTATAATGTCTCCTGACTACTACTGGTAGTTGATATTCATGGATGTGCTCTGCCTTCTGCTTATCTATTCTACATGGAACTGTTACAGTCCTTACACTGCATGTTGTAGATCAGGGGTCTCAAGACTTGTAGACTTCAACACCCAGAATTCCTCAGCCAGCCATGCTACATGTCTTAAAGTTGCCAAGTTTGGAGAGCCCTGTCGTAGACCACTTCTGTATTTTTCTTCATGGGCTACTGGGTCTGGTCTTTTGGTTTACTTAAAATGATTTAGAGCTGTGGTTCCCAATGTGGGGCCCACTCCCCACAGGGGGAGGGGGGCAATTTGAACCTTGTTTAAACCAAGTTAATAGGCTTCCTCCAGGTGAGTAGAGTTCGCTTTTTGTGTAAAGTAAGAATTGTATGTCATGGGGGATGGGGGGGATGGCATCAGGATTTTAAAAATGCTTAGGTGGGACATGGCCAAAAAAAGATTGGGAACCACTAATTTAGAGGCTTTAGTTGATTTGTGTGTCACAGGGATGTGTCTGCTATAGTGATGTCTTGTGGTTATGATAATCTGTTGATAGTTTCTGAGATAGTTTTGATGTATGTAGGTTATCCCTTTTGTTGGTTGTGTAGTGGTTTGAGGGTCAAGCACTTTTTGATAAAGAGGTGTGGATATCCATTTAGTTGGGAGATGTGGTATAGTTGGTCTGTTGTTGTTGTTTTTTTCCTGGTGTTCTGGGTTACTATGACATCTTTGTACTTATCTGAATAATGTCTTCTCCAGCTCCTGTTCCAGAAAGCTGGATTGTTATTTTGGTAATGGAGTACCTAGTTAGTATGGATTGTTTTTCAATAGATTCACATTTGTAATCTGCCATCATTTCCTCTGCTGATAAGAATATCCAGGAAGTGTACTAGTTTGTTTTCTTCTTCCCTTGTGAATTTTATTCCCTTGAAAATGTTGGGTATTTTCTATAATTCTTCCTTTTTATTATGAGGGTGTTGTCCGCATACTGGATCCATCTTGCTGTGGTTTCTGAGTCCCAAGAGTGGTGATCTCATGAGTTTTCCTCTGATGTGTTGATATATTGATTTATCAGTTGTGTTTTGTTTGCTTATACTCTTAAGCAAGGGTACCTTTTTGATATGGAGAGCAGCTGTGGCCCTTATGAAGTCTTGTGGGAGTTACAGAAATGGGAAAGATACTGCATACAAACCACACCTTTTCTTTCACACAGATGGCACACTATATACTTAGACTTCCTGGGGAACAATACATGATTGAAGTCTGCCTCCCCCCCCCCGCCGCCCCTCCAAACCACATTCTTAAATGATCCTTAAGTTTTTCTTGCCTGTTTTTTTTTTAATGGAAGAAAACAATGTCCTTATGAAAAACTGTTGGGTAGCAGAGGTTTTAACCTGTTCCTTTTCAATTTCTCTTGGGATTTTTTTAACCTGTGAGTAGTTCATTCCCCCTATTAGAATACGCCATGTGCATTTTCTGCATTTGACAATCTGCCCAAAACTCAATGAAGCATGATGCTTTTTGCATGTGACAATTGGAAAAAAAATGAAAAATAAGAATTCTGTCATACTCAAATGCACAGGGCACACTTTCCATATGATAAGGTATCTGAGAAAGAAACCAAAGTACCTCTCCTCATAGCAACAATTTTAGAAAAGGCAGTAAATGCAACTTCCAGGCAAGCAATGGTCTTCTTTTTTAAAAAAATGTCAAAGTGATATTTCTGTACATGTACTTAACCACATCTCCACATCTGCCCTTCGCTCCACCCCTCACTTATTGGGAAGTGGGGGTTAATTAAAAAACACAGTTCAATCAGGGAACATTACAACGCTCAAAACAACATGGAACAAAATGTTCAGACCAAATTTCAAAACACAAAGATTTTTATTTAGAGTTTTGAACACTTGAACCCGCTATTTTGAACTCAGAACTGTTACCAGATGTGCTCCAGAAACTTGACTCAAGAATATCTCTAAATATACTGTATATCTACCACAGACCAAAAGGTGTATCCAGTAATGACACATAAAATGTTCCAATTCCACTAAAATATGTTTAATAATAAATCCCATTTATATTTAGTATGTACAATTTGGGATTGGGGGGGGGGTGTTTTTGTTTTAGCTTTAATACGAATCACAAAAGGAAATATATAATTAATATTAATTATCTTAGTTGGGAAAATTAGCAATCAGTTTCCAAATATATCAATGCATCCACAGAAGGATGGTATCAAGACCATGTGAAAAATTAGTACCTCTTCGTACTGCTTTGGTAAGACCACACTAGGAATACTGCATCCATTTTTGGTTGCCATGATATAAAAAAGATGTTGTGCTCTTGAAAGAGTGTATAAAATATCAACAAAGATGTTTAGGTGACTGGAGACCCAAACATATAAAGAATGGTTGCAGGAATTGGGTATATCTAGATCAGGGCTGTCAAACTCACATCGCCCGGGCTGGATGCCTCACACACTGGCCACGCCCATGCTCGGTTTAGCAAAGGCAGAAAAAGTTCCTATACGTTATGTGACACCGCCATGACGACACGGCTTTGACAGCCCTGATCTAGGGATGATATGATAGCAGTGTTCCAATATTTAAGGGGCTGCCACAAAGAGGAGAGTGTCACGCTATTCAAAGCATCTGATGGCAAGACAAGAAGTAATGGATGGAAGCTTAGCAAAGAGAGATCCAACCTAGAACTAGGGAGAAATTTCCTGACAGTTAGAACTGTCAGTGGAACAGCTTGCTTCCAGAAGTTGTAGATGCTCCATCATTTGAGGTTTTCAAGAAGAGTTTGGACAACCATTTCCCTGAAATGGTATAAGGTCTCCTGCTTAGGCAGAGGGTTGGCCTAGAAGATTTCCAGAGTCCCTTTCAACTCTGTTATTCTATAATTCTGCAAAAGCCGTGCTGGGAATAAAAGGATTTGTGGAGATTCCAGGTAGTCTTGTTTACCTGGTAGCTGAAAATGGGGCAAAAGTAGGGGGTTAAAACTTTCACTCTAGTCAGGGGAATATATGGGGGGAAAAACTAGTTGGTTTGTTGCATTCAGTTAAAGGGCAGAATACAAATGCCTAATCATGTCTGGGTACTGGGGTGAAAGTGTGGGAAGCTCCATTTCAGAGAAGAAATCTAGAAAGACAGGTAAAGCATTCAGAAGATTGCTTTTCTGCAACTCCATTAATCTATCTCAAGATTAATTGAAGAAAGGTGGACTAGGTATGATCCACAAGACAAAAAGCATTTTAAGTATAGCGGTCAACGAAACTTTGAGGCCCAATTCCTGCGCCACTCTGTCTGAAAAAAATTAGATTGTTCTGAATGTGCCTTGAAGCATAACAAATTCTTTTTAATTGATGGGAGCAAATGATTTCCTCTCTGAGTTTTTCTCCTTTTTGCTATTCAAGTCAGGGACTCAAACCCATCGGCTTTCTGAGCAAGTAGTAACTGATGTGCCAGCCATCAAAGGAGCTTCCTAGCCAGGCTAAATCTATATGGTATAGATATATAAATATANTGTGTGTGTGTGTGTGTGTGTGTGTGTGTGTGTGTGTAAGAGATAATCTAGACCCCCAAATCATAGGAAACATATAAATGAAAAAGTACCTTCTTCACAGACGATGCATCATGCTTGCAAAGATTAAGCTAAAAAAATAGAATCTCTCTCATATCAGCCTTCTATCTTCCAGATTGGACCCGCTGGGAAATCAGATCTGCCTCCCATCGATGGACCCACAGATATGGATCGGGGTCCCATCTTGCCTGTCCCTCTGGGGATTCGCCCTGTTCTGAGCAAATATCGAGTAGAGGTAATATGAATTCTTTTGACAATTATTGGAATTTGTAGGTATCTCTTTAGCACAAAATCCACATAGCGGACCATACTATAGGCACCCTCAGTAAACTGGTGGTTCCCTTTGGAAAACTGTTTTATTTATTAATATATTTATTTGACATTTATTTATTAAATGTTTATGCTGCACATCTCCCCTATAAGGCGATTCTGAGTGGCTTTGTGAACTGTCAGAGATATTACCATGTTTCCATGAAAATATGACATATCCTGATACAAAGCCCAATTGGACTTTTCAGCACATGGGCTAAAATAAGCCTCCTCCCCCAAATTAGCCCCACCCCAAAAAAACTACTTAAACACATATGCAGCCGGTCCCTGCCATTTCCTCCAGTTGCTTCTGGAGGGAGGGAGGGGGGGACATGCCCCATGCACCCATACCTAACGGTAATTGTGATGGCTGCGCAAAAAGAGAGGCCATGCCAAAAAGAGAAGCCGCAGAAAAAAGAGCGGCTGCGGGAAAAAGAGCATGCACCATGCCTCGCGCCCCACCTGCCACCCCCCAAATTGTGCCCCAGCACAAGAAGCATCTTATCAGACACTGTCAGCTCTGTTGTGTCTCTCGGCCAGTCTGTGCAGGGAAACACCTTGAACGGTAAAGAAAAACTTCTCGCGAGTGCGAGCAATTAACAACTTCTCGAAATCGTGAGAAGTTTTTTTTCTTTACCACGCAAGGTGTTTCCCTGCACAAACCGGCCGAGAGACACGATGGAGCTGACAACGTCTGGTAAGACGCACGTCTTGAGGCCCGCTCTGCCCCACCTGCCACGCCCCAAATTGCGCCCCAGCACAAGACGTGCATCTTACCGGACACTGGCAGCTCCATTGTGTTCCTTGCCATTGTGTCCAGGGAAACACATTGTGAAAAAACCTTCTCACAAGTTTAAGAAGTTTGAACTTGCAAGAAGGGTTTTTTTTACAACGTGTTTCCCTGAACACAACGGCAAGGAATACGATGGAGCTGGAAAGATAAGACCCATGTCTCGCTTCTCGCCGGCCCCACCTACCAGAAAACAATAACACACACATGCACACACGCACACACCAATAACAATAACAAGGAGAAGCCCTTAATACTGAGGTCAAAAGAAAATAAGGCCTTGTCTTATTTTTTTGGGGGGGGGGAAATATGGTATGTGGAATGAAGACATCTCTAGCCTTTATCTTCAAAAGCAAAGTTAATTACTGGGCACAGATTCACAATCTTTTGTATGTTTGTGTTTGCCTAGATTTTTGTATATGTACTGTATATCCCCACATGAAGCCTTTTGTTTTCTTTTACAAGAAATAAAACCAAACAAGAGCTTGGAAGATATAATTACATACAGTATATACAATCATGAACAAAACCATCATGGGAAACCTATGAATAGTAATTTAGCTGTGAGTGAAATAAATATCAGAGCAAGAATTTCAACAATTCAGAATATATATTTTTTGAAACCGTTAACATTTCAGCCCTTGTTTTATAACTAAAGTAAATGGAGGCTTTCCTTTCAATGCATGCAGGAGTTTTAGGCCAACAGTGTTAATTATGATGAAATTGGTCCATTATTTGTTAAATTTCTTAAGCTTCTTGGTAACATTTCTTACATTGTCTCCTTATATAATTGGATTCGTGTTGTTTGCATCCTTGGTTTCTTTATCTTTTTGGTGTTTCCAATCGTCTAACTCAAGGGTGTCAAACTCAAGGCCCATAGGCCAGATCCGACCAATGGGGTGCTTAAATCTGGCCTGTGGGGCTGGCCTGGAAATATCAAAGTACCAAAGTGCCTCTGCCAGCCAAAACAGAGCTTGGTGGGGTGACCCATTTTTGGCCTCCCTGGCCTCCAGCAGCACTATGATGACCAAAAATGGGCCGTACAGATACCCCCTGAGGGTCCTGTGTGACCTGTTTTTGGCCTCCCCAGCTTCCAGCACCACTCTGCTGGCCAAAAACGGGTTGCATGGAGACCTCATGGGGCCTCCACACAGCCTGTTTTTGACCAGATTCCAGCAGGTTCTGACTGGTTCTGGAGAACTGGTAGTGGAAATTTTGAGTAGTTCGGAGAACCAGCAAATGCCACCTCTGGCTGGCCCCAGAGTGGGGTGGGAATGGAGATTTTGCAATATCCTTCTCTTGCCATGCCCACCAAGCCACATCATGCCTACCAAGCCACACCCATAGAACCGGTATTTAAAAAATTTGAATTTCACCACTGTGCTGGAGACCATGCAGGCTGAAAAGAGGCCACACAGGGGCCACCTGTGCCCTATTTTTGCCAGCAGGGTTCTGCAGAGGGCATCCATCCT